GGCAGCGGGCAGCAGGCAGCAGGCAGCAGCCACGCATTTCGTTGATGCAGATCAGATATGGCCCACCAGCACACAAGCGCACGCTCACCCTCACTCAATACTCAAGCTAGACTCAAAAGACTTGTGATATTTGACTATCCCGCCGTAGCTGTTGTAACTCAACCAGTGTGGCCCACCCATACTTTGACATTCACATTGACTCACATGATCAATCTATGTGACCCGCAAATCGTCCCACATCACCCACGACTTGGGCAACGCCAGCAGCAAAGCTTGCCTTCGTCGCACATTTTGTATTCCGTACGCAGTCGCGAGACGAATCGTTGCTATGGACGCTCTTCAATTCATGGACACGTTGAAGGAAGCTACACGTGACTAGAGTTTCGGACCTTGATTTAGACGAATTTGTACGGCATTTGCATGAAGATCCGGCATCTCCTATGAGCCGCCCGCACATCATCAGTTGGTGCATTCGTGATTCAAGATTTTGAGTCAAAGTGTTCGGTTCGGTACGCTCGTCACGCGCGTCACGCGCAATCAAGCGAGCATGCAGGATGGGCTGATTTTTGGCACGCACACGCAAACAACTCGCCAGCTGTATGCATTTTTTTATACATAGGCACATCAGCAGCCTACCATACGTAGCTGCAGCAGCACCAAAGGACCTGTCACGAGCGAGCCTGCCTGCATGCATCCATGCATGCTAATCCTCCCGCGCGCTCTCGACTACGGCCGTGAGCTGATTATATCGCATGATATTTGAGTTCTTCCTGACGCGCGCCGCGCGCGAGAGCCCTGCACCAGCCAGCTTTTCCGCATGGAGGCGCTGGAGCAGTCAAAGTCTTGTGTTTTTTGAGCTATAGAGCACGCGCGCGCGTACAATGATTGCACATCAACAAGGCACGCCGCGGCGCACGCACGCACGCACGCACGCACGCACGCACGCACGGCGTTCACCGCGGAATCTTCGGCTTCCAGCAGCAAGCAGCCCATGCAGAATGCGCTTATTCTGGGACCACTTTTGAACAGCAACGTCAACCGGCCTCGTCTCGCTCGCTATAGCTGGATCCTGCTTGCCTTGCCACCCCCGTCTCACCCCCATTTTCCTTTCCCTTTCCCTGCTCCCTCTCCCTCTCCCTCTCCCTCTCCCTCTCTCTATACCGCATCAACAGCGCTTCTACCAGTCTGCTCGTCTCCATCCTTCTCAAGTGACATTTCCGCTCTTCAGCAAAACGCCACGCTACGCCTGAGCAGACTATCCACGGACCGCGGAATATCTTCTTCCCAGGTGCGGTTTCTCGAGTGGACCAGTCAGTGAACAGCACGTCCCGCGTGAGATCAAAGCCTGAAGAAAAGCGAAATTTTTGTACAAGGTCAACGGCGCATACAAGATCAGAAGGCCGTCGCTGCTCGTTCTGTACTGCTAGACTCACAACCAGCATCACGACGTGTGGCCCCTCATTGTCGATCTGCTTCTCGTAGCACTACTTTCGGACGCGCATCAGTGGCAAGCCGATCTCGGCATAGAACAACGCATCGCGCTTGACACCACCGCAACAAGACTGCAAGCACCTCGATCTCGACCCGCCATGGACGTCGTTTTGCACTACGCCGACGAATGGGTACTGGACAAAGCCTGGGCTTGGGCTCTACCTTCCATTCCAGCTCGTCTTGCTCGAGCAGGTCAGGCGGCCAAATCTGCCGAGTCTCTAGCAGCAGCCGCACGAGCTACACCCAGCGCTATTCAGAACTTGACTCATGGTGTCCTCAACTGGACCAGCAGGTCGAGTGCGGGCAGCGGTGCTAGGGACGCCACAGCCAGAGCGGCACAGCAGGCCGGCTTGGCAGCTCAACAGGCTGCTGCGCAAGGATTGGAAGAGTTTGTCAACTCGAGCAGATGGGGCAGAGATCACTTTTTGAGGTGAGTGTATGCGCAAGTCCTTTGTGATTCTGGCATCAGGCTCCTTCTTGAGCTTGAGCGAGCGGCACGAAAGGGGCGGATGGTAGGTAACATGCTGCCCGCGTCGAATTCCAGCTGATCACCGCATGCCACCTTTCTCTCGCTACGACAATGTAGACAATGCATCTCGCTCTACGCCATCACTCTGGTCGGCATCATGCTGCTGTACTTTAGCTTTGCCGGTCTCTCCTACTACTTTTTCTTCAATCACGACATGAAGAAGCACCCGCGATTCCTGAAGAACCAAGTGCGGCTGGAGATCGAATCATCCCTGAGAGCGTTCTTGCCGCTGGACATTCTCACCCTGCCATGGTTCGTCGCGGAAGTGCGAGGACACTCTATGCTCTACGAAAACATCAGCGATTACGGCATCGCCTACGCCATCTTTAGCGTGCCTTTCTTTCTGGTTTTCACGGATGCCTGCATCTACTGGGTGCACAGATTGGAGCATCATCCGCGCCTCTACAAGCACATTCACAAGCCTCACCACAAGTGGTTGGTTCCAACACCCTTTGCCTCCCACGCTTTCCACCCACTGGACGGATATGCGCAATCATTACCCTACCACATTTTCGTCTTTTTGTTCCCTCTGCACCGATACATCTACATTGGCCTATTCGTCTTTGTGAACTGTTGGAGCATCCTCATTCACGATTCCGACATGATCGTCAATTCTCCGCTGGAAAAGATCATCAATGGACCTTCTCACCATACGCTTCATCACCTCTACTTTAACGTCAACTACGGACAATACTTTACCGGTTGCGACAGGTTGGGCGGATCTTACAGGCAACCCAAGTCGGAAGATGATCCGCTGCACGATGTGGTCAAGAGCGAATCGAAGAAGGCGCAATGAGCGGCGAGCGTGAGCGAGGCAGGCAGGCAGGCAGGTAGGCAAACAAAGCTTCCTCTGCGCCTCTCTTCGCGCACGCCTCGTCCATTGGGAAGCATTTCTGCACCGCTTCATCGACTCCTTGGCATCGTCGCCAGCTTACTGCAACCCCGACATTTCAAATCAGCACGAATCAAATCTTGCATCCCGGCTCGGCTCGATAGAATGGTGAAGAAGGAGAATGCTGGCTGCATTAGTTCTGTGCAGATTCGATCAACGATTCCCTTGTTCTACCTGCAAGATGATCTGACCAGATCAGTGTATACCGCCAGACATTCAAACGTGCCCCTCCTTGCCGGTTCCTCTCAAGCCTCTTTCTCCTTTTCCCGCCCCGTTTGAACGATCCCTCCCATCTCGCGCGTATTATTGTCCTTCCAAACACACAAATACCAATCAGAATCGCGTCCTGCAGTTAAGTCTAATTCCTTTCAGGCCTGGGGCGACCCTAGCGAAGTGCTGCATGGCGCGCACGAGAAAGCCTGAACTGCTTAGACTGTGTGACACTTGTGCACGCAGAGACGGCTCGCTTTAGCGCTCACTGACTTGATCGATGCGCACGCCAAGCCGCAGGCTGAACGAAAAAGGTCACGCGTAGTCACAGCTCGACTGTGCACAATGAACACTTTTGCGCTCTGAGGGGAGCACTCGTACTCAAGACTTCCCGACTGACTGCGGGGGGGTGGGGGATTTGCAGATTCTGATTGCAAAATGGACGACTCCTCACGACTCGGACTATAGCTTGTGAATCAATCGCGATTGGTGATTCAACATTGGTGAGTGAGTTGAAGTTGACCGCGCAAGGGCGATGCACGATGAATTCGTGATTCGGAAAAGTTTGCCCCTCGCGTCGAGTCATCTCATCCAGTTCATGTCACGAGTCGAGTTCAGCAGCCTGCATGCAAGTCGCTATACAGTATAC